CCGAGGCGGTCAATGGAACTCTGACTGTTGGGCATGCTGGAACGGGTGGACTGGGCTGAACGGGGGGGGTTTATGTCTTTTAACTATGCTGCTCCATTGTGCCGTTTGCCTCGTGCCTTGCAAGGCTAATATAATTTTGAAATCACTTAATCGGTACGCAAAGTGCACCTTAATGAGAGCTGAATAGGTGGAGTGAAACAATGGCCTGGCACCCGCACAGCAGACATTTTGAAGCCACAGCGGGCGGTAGACAGTGTCTGGATGAATGGGCAGCAAAAATGCGAATGGCAGGATGAATGCTGCTCCAGCTGCTGGTAAACAAGGAATTCAATCAATGGCTGGCACAAACAACTGGAAGCAACAACAAATGGAAGTGATTGTTGAAATCGAAACAGTTTTTCTTTCACAATTATCGCTGCAGAGTGCAGTGGTACAGAGAAAGGGTAATAAAAACTATGTGGTGCCATCAGGTAGGTGAACAAATGATGACCGAACCTAAGGCTAAACCCCCACAGGATCCACACAAGAAATAAGTCAATGATGTTGCACCAGAATCGCATCCAATCTATGGCGAAAGTCTGTTCAACTACCTCATGGAGCCCCGTCTGCCGCCGTACTATGTTGACACCGTTGTTGCTGGCATCTGTTATCAGTCCAGAGAGCCGTTTATCTGCAGTCTAACTGAGCACGGATTGATGCCATTTGCAAGTGTCTCTCCAACCTCATTGGCAGTTACCAATTATCACCATGTATTATCTCCATGTTCACTGTACAGTAGATATATTATGGCTGATTTTTGATGGTGCAAACTGCACCCAAGGGTTCCCAGTAGCTTGAAAACTGCGGCTGCTGTAAACTGCTTTAAAACTGCTTTGCTGCTGCTTCAAACTGCTTTAAAGCTGCTCTCAATCTTCATATATTTATGTATGTATGTAAGGGCAGGGCTCTAAACTGATCTTAACTATAGAAATGTGCTTAGTAGAGTTTTGATATGCAAAGGATAAGTCTGTCTGTATCCTTAATTGATCCACTTTTGTATCCACTCGTAGTTAGCTTTCAGTCAATGGCAACTCAAGCATTAATGTTAATAAATAAATTCATAATTATTTTGCATTTCTTGAGGTTGAGTTAATTTCTGTTTGTTAATTGTCATTTACATGTGCGTGTATTTTGTGGTTGGACATGTCCTTGGTTGCTTTCCGTTGAGTTAGGGTCCTTCGGCTGATGATGTCCTTGAACGCGGACTTCCATCAGTTATCCCTGGACAGTTGTCCCTCTTCATTTGATTAGTTCCTTGAATACATACATAGCTCGCTAGTTATCCTCTTGCTGGTTATCCTTGGCAAGTTATCTCCATTAAGCTGACACCCCCACACCCCCCGTGTCAGCCCCCTCCTCCTCTGTCATGTTATGTCATTTGCCACCTTGTATGTATGAACAATTTATTTATAACCGAAAAGCCATTGTCCAGGGCGGCCTGGCGGTGTGTCGGCGTGGTAATGCGTTCCAAGCTTTAACCGTTAGTTGACCACCAAGCAGCACACCAACACACCAACACAACAGCAGCACCTATACCAACACCAACACCAACACCATCGCATGTGCATGTGCACAGGTAGCACTTATTTTTATATCTTTGTCCCTCCATACATGCACAAGCACGTGTATTTGCACACACAAACACCCACACACACTAATGCACGTGCTTGCGAGCGTGACTCTGTGTGTGTGTGTGTGTTGATGTGTCGTAATTGACGGCAGCCTGCGAACGCAACTGATGACATCATGCAGCCCACCAGCCACCACAGCGTACCTTTCAGAGTTTCCAAGTGCTCGTCATGCCCATGCATGTGCGTGTGCCGCTATGTACATACATACATACATACACATGCACACATACGACACACGGTATGTTTGTGTGTGCGCCTGGCCAATGCTCCAATTGGCAGCGTACGCAGCTGACCAGCAAACAAGGCGAGCAACACAAATGTATTTTATAGCTTTTCGTTAGCAAGAAAAACACATCACGAATGTAGGATGTTTGCCTACATAAAGTAATGCATTTGGAGCACCCTTTTATAGCTAAAATGTTAAATTTTAATCAAAATATTTGAGTTTGCCGCTTTCGGCAAGAACAGTGTTGCCAAACGCGCACACACAGAGACAGTGCTATGAAATGGCAAATGGCGGTCGTATCAATCGATTTGTGGCGCGGCATTTTGCAATCGGTTTCACACTAAAAGATAAACTTTGATTTATTTACCAGCTTACCATCATAAACACACACATACTCGCTCACGTATTCTTATCATAGGAATTAACAATAACAGGAAACTAGGACAGAGCGGAACTGATGCTCTCAAGGTCGCTGGTAGACGGCCTCGTCGTGCTCAGCGATCAGCTGCTTGTGATCGAAGGCGTGCTCATCCTGGCGCACATTCCAACCGAGGCAGCGGCGCACCCCATAGAAGACGACGACGAGCACTAGGGAGAGCAGCGATGCCGCAATGGGCACCACCAGGATGAGATCCAGCTGCGGCTGCTCCAGCTGGCTGGCCTGCAGCAGCACAATGGGCATGGTCATGTTCAGCACACTCGTCTCGATGGCCAGGGTGAGGGCATCGGTGGGCGAGCGGCACAGCAGCTTGGACAGCAAGTAGGTGGCCAGATAGCCGGCCACGGGCAGGCAGAGAGCAGCCACCAGCACCTGCAAATGAGGGAATGAAGCTCAAGCTCAAGCTGAAGCTGAAGCTGCTCCGAAGTAGCGACTTACCTGCCAGGTGAACTCGGCAAAGACAAACCAATTGAGGCCCACCGTCAGGCCCACCAGACACAGGCTGAGCACCACCGAGAGCGGCTTGAGAAAGCGGAAGATGAAGCGCGTTGTCTTGGGCACGCACAGGCGCAGCAGGAGCCCAATGGCCAGGCAGGCGACCAGAGCCGCCGCACCGCCCGAGAGCTGGCCAAAGGGCACCGTCAGCTCGTCGTCATCGTAGACGAGACGCCCCAGGACCATGATCCACAGCGGCATAAAGGCCAGCGCCAGCAGGCTGTTGATGGTGGTGGTGGCAATTGACAGGTTTATGTTCCCCTTTAGAAAAACGGCGCACACGTTGGCCAGACCGCCACTGGGAGCCAGCGCTGTGTAGAACAGGGCCAGCTGCAGGGGCTGCTGCCCCGGCCAGAGCGCACTGCCCAGGCCAAAGCCCAGGGCTGGCATTACCACGAACCGACTGACGATGCCGACCACAGGACCCACGGGCCGACAAACGATGCCCTGCAGGCGCTGCAGGTCCAGCACAGTGCCCAGATTGAGAAACATCAGCAGGGCCAGGGCCGCGGACACATATGTGGTTACCCGCTCATCGACCACGCGCTCCCTCAGCACCGCAATGGACAGGGGCTGGGGGAATGCCTCGATTGCAACGCCATTAGCGGTGTGCAGCTCCACCAGCAGCTCGCTGTAGCCGAAGCGCTTGCCCGTCACGTCCACCGTGCCCTGCCAACTGCCGCTGGCATCGAAGTCCTCCCGGGGCACGGTCCTATATGCCAGGGCCCTCAGCTCGTCGCTCGAGCGCACCACAAACTGATAGTCCAAGGCGCCATCCTGCGGCTGGACATTGTAAATGTGCAGCTGCAGCTGCGCACTTTCATCGCTGAAAAGAGGAAGCTCGGCCTGTCCGTAATCCACCAGCCAATTGCCGGCCAAGTCACCGTATTTGGCCTGAGCCCCGCTGACTACCAGCAGGGGCAGGAGCAGTGCCAGGAGCTGCCGTCTACTGTTTGACATGTTCTCCATGCTGCGTCGCTTTACCAACTAAATGACGGGCTGAACCACAAGCAAGGCCGTCGCACAAAGACCCACAAGCGCTCGCGCTATCAGTATCCGTAGACCTGTAGACTAAGCCCAAGCTGCCCACCAGATTGCTCTTATCAGGCAAGGGGTTGCTGGCTGATGGCATTCCAGGTGCGTTCTAAAATAGAAACTATTTCCATCACACAAGTGGGAAACTTATTCTACAGCTCGAGAAGCCATCACGGAGCAGGTACAAAAATGCCCAAAAAGACAGTTACGAGCTCCAAGAATTTTGGTAGTCACTTCCAAGTAATGGAGCAGAGACAAAGAGTATCAAATGAAACAAAGAGAAACCCTCCCAACGATAATCTCGAGGGTTTCTTCTTTATGTTTGAGTTTGAGTTTGAGTTTAAGTGCATTGTTTGGTTCGATTTTGTGCAATGCGTGTTTGTGTTGTTGTTAAACAATTGAAACTGATTACAAATGTCAAATTTCCACCCCACTCCTGTTGTGTTTTCCCTGAGTCAGTGGCCATAAATTCGGTAATTATGGTTGGACCTGACCATATACCATTCACATTTCAATTTCTTGTATTATTTTTTATTGGTGTGTGCCACCGTTTGGTATAAATACATCGTACATAGTTGTTATTATTTGCTTTGTTTATTGTTAATGTTTATTGTTAAATATAATTGGCATACCCCCCACACATTCATTCACACTGCAACCAAATGCAATGGCTGGTGTGGAGAGAGAATCAAATTGCAACTAGCTAGAAAGGGTATCAAGTGGGGCGAGTTGTTATCAATTTCAAATTTCAAATGACTGTGAATTGATTCTCTATTTAATTTTAGTTTCCTGCGTGTCTGGACTGGGTCTAGTGGCTCCAGTGAGAGATAACCCAAATATGCTCCACGCTATGGTTGGGTGGGGCTCAGCAAACCAATCAATTGATACGCCTCCCTCCGCCTATAGACTTATCATTGATAATTCATTTAAGTTGTATTCATTTTTAAACGGAAATTATGTTATGTACTTCCCATCTCTCTCTAAATTGTGCAGCTCTCTCTCTCGCTTTCTCTCTCTGTCTGTCTGCATGTCTTTTTATGCTCTCTTTCTCCTTCTACATGATGCGATTTGGAATCGCTGCTAACATCGTTTGTAGTACTTCACTCAAAATACTCGCGAAATGAAAAGAGTTGCGTTTAAAAAATATATCAATACATTTATGCCATGGGATGATGGATGGAGAATACAACATTGTGGAACAAATAGAGAACGAGGCGTTGTGGGTTAATCATTGAATCACATTATCGTAATCGTAATCATAATCAGATAATCAGATAATCGTTAAACATATATTTCAAATTGACACAAAGATATCGGCAGTGGGCACAGCATCATCTGAGAATGAATTACCGAGTGAGTTGGGAACAGGAAACATTCAATCAAACACAGGTGGAAAAAAAGCACATTCACACACGTTTCGCATCAGGCATCAGGCATCGGGCATTGCCAATCGAATTGGTTTACATTGGTAGACAGAGCCGAATGCCAAAACTAATTGCTAAAACACTTGTTCATCCTTGTCATCTATCAATCTCAATCTGAATCAAAATCCTGCTCCTAGTTGCTGATCTTTTGCAGTTTTTGCAATACTTTGAGTCCCTGCTCCTGATACTCTTGCTTGGACATCCAGAAGCCGTCCCGATCCTTTGTCACCTCCGCCAGGACGGCACCGCCAATGAAGACCATATCCTTTCGCCTCGGTGGATCCTCAATGCGTATTTTAAATTTCTAAAATGAAATTTCCATAAATATCGAAGAACAAATAATAGAACAGAAAGCTTTTCATACCGCCAACTTTTCCGTATCGTTCTTCAGCACTCGCTCCAGATACAATTGCTTGATCTCGCGCTCCAATCGACTGGGCAGACCCGGATACATGGTGGAGCCGCCAGACAAGACAATATGCTTGTAGAGCTCTGGCCGTATGTCGATGTCCGCCGCTTGGATCGTATTGAAGACCAGCTCCGCAATGCCAGCGCCCTCGACATTGATTAAATGCGGTTGGAATAGTGCTTCGGGTGCCTCGAATCGTTCACCGCCCACCTTGATCACACGGCCATCGGGTAACGTATAGGACTCAACCAGCACCGTCGTCTCCAGGGCCAGACGCTGCTCCATCTCGATGTCATACCCAATGTAGCAGAGTTTCTCTTTCATGATTCGGACCGTTTCGAAGTCAGCGGAATGATTGAAGGCGTATCCACGCAGTAAAAGTAACTGGAAAGAGATTCATTAATTAATGAGATTAATGAGAAAATACGGAAGAACTCACCTTAATCAGATAGCGGGTGATATCACGTCCAGCAATATCCAATCTGCGTGTCAAATGTGGCAGGGCGAACTCCTCGTAGACGGGACAAATATGCGTCACCCCATCACCGGAATCTACAACAACGCCCGATATCAGACCCTGGGCGTATAGCGTAAGCACAGCCTGAATGGCAATGTATGTAGAATCGAAGCCGTACTTCTCGAACATCACCTGAAATCAGAGAATCAGGTAGAGGTAAGCAGCTGAAGCGATTGCTATGCATCGCATGGACCTACCTCAATCATTTTCTCTCGATTCTTTGTGGGATTCATGGGTGGCTCTGTCAGCAGTATCTTTGTGTTTGTCGGATCAATGTCCATCTTCTTGGGGCCGAACGTGTAGTCCCACACATGACACATGTCGTCCCAGTTACGCACCACGCCGTTCTCCATCGGATAGGAGACCTCCAGTAGTGATCGCAGCTGGGAGGCCTCATCGCCGACCATAAGATCCTGAAAATTTGCATATTGCATATTGCATTTTTTGCACATTTTTGCATTGTTAGTGGCCAGCATAAAACATAACATATTTCTCGCGACAATCTGGGACTAGGAGCAGTTGAAGGTTGAGGGTTGAGGGGGAAAGGGATTGCAGGACGAGCTTTGGCTCCGGACATACACAACGAAAAGAGCGATAGGTACAGGTACAGACAAGAAGCAAATGGGTTCGGGGGGGACAGTAACGTCATAGACTACCATAAACGAGTACATTCCCAAGCTAAATTTAACAAAAACATAAACAAATGAACGAGCATTAACGCGTGCAATAACGAACAAAAAACAACGAGTGGGGTGCAAGCAGCTCGATTGTTTCGGTCTGAGCTGCTGGAATGTCTAAACTAAAAGAACTTCAGCTAAGCCACAAGCAAATTCATCATGCATCAAATAATTAACAATTCAAAAAAATAACAACTACAACGGTAAAAGCACTAGCAACAACAAACAAAAAAGAGAAAGGGAAAAACAACGAACAGCACATTGAGAACTAGAAAAGCGTTTGCCTTTGGAAAAATGTTAAATAACAAAAACTTTGGATTATTTAACGTTTTTCGAAAGGATTTTGAGTGTTTTTTTTTTTTAGTTTTTTTTTAAGCTTTTTTGCTGCTGTTGCTGTTGTGTGGAATTACTTTTAACATTTGGAATTAAGTAGGGAAAATTGTTTGTTGCTTTAAACTATAAAAACTTGACTTACATCGACATGTAAATCCTGCAAAATATTTGTATTTTCAACAAAAATATGTAAAAAAAAGAACAGAAAATTGTATAAGAATATTAAAAATGAAGATAACGATTCGTTTTGTGTGTTTCTTTTGTTATTTTTATAGTGTTTTGGTTATAGTTGTTGAAATATCGTTTTGCTTGTTGTTTTTGTGTCTAAACTTAAAAACCAGCAAATGCTAGGAATAGGAAATATTTATTGTATATAGTAGGCTATAAAGTATAAGGCGAGATGGTGAAATGCACTAGAGAAAAGCAGACGGGCTTTGCGTGTGGTCTGATCTGATCTGGTCTGGTCTGGGTCCCTCCCCCATCCTAAGTGCTTAGCCCTGGGTTTGTTCCCCGGTTAGGGCGAGTTCCCAGAAAAGTAAAACTTAGCTACTACCGTACCCAGCCCCAAGGAGAGACTGTACTTTTATGGCATTTATGCGCAACACCACAACACACCATTGAGAAGAGAAACCAAGACCAAATGGAAGCCACCCGTTGGGGATGCAACTCAAGACAAAATGCAATGAGATCATAAAGTATGTGTATGCATTTTTGATCTAAGAAAGTAAAACGGTAAAGAGTGGAGTGGAGTGGAGTGGAGTCGAGTGGAGTATGCAAGGTGTACAATATGGATGAAATGTATTAAATCATAACGAGTGTATGTTACAATGCCACACTAAATAGATAAAATAGTACAGAATAGAATAGAATGGAACAATTTCAGTTTCAGCTAACATAATCAGATGAGAGACAGACATAGAGAGAGAGAGAGAGATAGAGAGAGAGAGCAGGTGGTGTCTGTTTGTGTGTGTGTGTGTGTGTGTGGGGGGAAAGTGATTATGGAATGTGAATTTCTAGGCACTAATTTTGTTCTTGCCGTTCAACTAGTTCTTGAATAAGTTATATAGAAAATAATTAACAAACTATATGGTGTATGAGTGGTGTGTGTGAGTGTGTGTGAGTGTGTGTGAAAGATGATCCCTCCAGTAACTAGTTACCAAACATGTTGCCAATAATCACAGGTAGCTACCGCTTTCCCATCCTTCCAAATGGAGGAGGAAACGGCCGTTAGCTAGTAGTCGATTACTGGTGGCTAGTTTGGTAACTAGTCCATTGCCATATCCCATTACGATTAGGCAGAGATAATAGAGCACGGTACTAGAGAGAGTATTTAATTTTTTGTTTATGTGTATGAATGTGGTATTATGTCCTCTTCCTTTTCCGTGTTTTTTGTTTGTGTGTCTTAAATGTTTTTTGTTTGCTTAAGGATGGTCCGACAATATCGGATATTACGCTGGTCATACCTTCACTTCGATGTCACCAATTTTGTTCACCGCCCGGATAATGGGTCGCCCCACCATCGAGGGGAAAATGTAGGCGGGGAAATTGCTGCCGGCATAGCCGCACTTCACAAACTGCAATCAACAAAAGAGAGAGAGAGAGAGAGAGAAAAGAGTGTTAGTTTCGTTATTTGTTTGCGTTTCAATTCTTGCCGCCAGCTGCTTTTGTGTATCGCTTTGGTGGTATGGTATGGTTCGGTATCACCGTTATCTTTTGCGCGATAAGACATAAGATTGAACACAAAATACCATAGGCGTCCATAGCCGCCGCCGCTCTTTCGGCAGTTTGGGCGTGTTTTGTTTGTGTATGAGTGCATGTGTGGTGTGTGTCAGAGTATGCGTAACATTTGAGTTGGGTGAGTAATACCGTATCGACGACGGTCAGCGGTAACCATGACTAAAGCAGCAGCAGCAGAGGCAGCGACCTCTTCCACCACATTGCACTAACGGCATCAATACTGCACTCCCGCAGAGTCGCGCCGACCTCAACGTCAACGCCCGAAGCAGTCAAGCAGTTCCATGGAAGCACTGCTTAACCTACAAGAATCTGCTGCTGCTTCTGCTGCGGCGGCGGCCGCGACGGCGGTCCAGAAATGTATGTCACAGTGATCGCGGGGGAAATCGTATTAGAATTTAGATGAGAAAATGGATTTCTTACCCCTGTGCCGTTATCACAGACAATCACATTGCGTCCCTTGCTATCCATTTTTGTGGGGCACCAACTGGAACTGGAAACTGTCCGCGACTGCTTCTCCTCTGCTGCTATTGATGTGTGGCTGCTGCTCTGGTCTGCTCCAAAGTTGAGTTTCACCAAATGTTCGGGGGAAGGCTCTGATTTGCAACTAGAAAAATAAGCGGGATGAGCGATGGCGTTTCCTGTTGACTGTTGAATGGTTATTGCGGCCGCTCAGCGACTGCACTTAATCATACACTTTACTTTCCCACACACCAAGCACACAATCACACTTCATTCATACACACACACCCACACAGAGATAGGCCTGCTGGCGGGAGAATTTGTTTTTCCCACTTTACCGTGTTTGCGATGCTCGAAAATGGCTTTGTGCTATGATTGGTAATACTTTAGCATAATGTAGAGCAACTAATCAATTTAAAAATGGTTAACAGCAGCCAAGTTGCTTAAAATTTTGATTTTCTTTTTGCGGCGATACAAAAACACGGCACCAGTGTGACCGCGGAATTATCGATGCAATATACAGACTGACCCTTAGAAATATACCGAAATATAACCTTTCATTTTCAAAATATACTGAAAAATATACCGTAAATCTAAAATCATGTTCCTCGACTTTGATCTTTTATTTAATATTACCAACTGGTTAGAACCCTCAACTTTTAAACTGTATTTTATCTCAAATCATCATACCATTCTCCACCAGATTGGCTGATTTTCATGGCCTATTGAATATATTGGATTGATTGCAAAACAAGATTAAATTTAAAACGGTTGACAATTTGACAAAATATACCGCATACCTCGTTGCGCTACCGGTTTTTACGGTTTCACAGCCATCAGCTATTTGCACGAAACTGTTTGCACTGAAAGGTGACAGGTGGCGCTGTTACCGGTAAACTGTAAATTACACAATGTTTAACTACTACATTTTACGTCTTCGATTTCACCCCAGTGCAACTTTCCCATTGAAGAGAATTAATTAATTTGTTTTGAAAATGGCAATTCAACAATTCTTAACGTTGAACCCCAACAACAAAATAATGTCGAATATTCGTTTAGTTTTCAAAATTCCGTTCATAAAAAGCCGTACAATTGAAATTTTGCTGCTGATTTATTTTATTTTGTTTATATAATATGTATATGTATGTATATATAATTTAATAATATAATAAACATTACTCATTTGTTATCTTTATAATTGCTTTAAGAGGCGAAATGTCTTATATATGTATGTAAGTACCATGCACGTCTTCTGTTCTGGAATGCATCTGTATACATCGGGCCACGCCACACACTATCCCCGCCCCGACATTGATCGCGCTTTAACAGTAACGTGTGTTCCTTTTTTCTTTTGATTCGGCTTATGCTTTGGGTTGGATTGGGTTGGATTCAACGTTTCATGTTTATGGATCCATAAAGTATTTGGTGTGGTCTTGATACATTATCAAAATCTACAGATCAGCATCTCCGCTCCACATCTCTTCCATCTCTCACCACTATATATGATGTTAGGTTAATATGTATTTATTTATGTAGGAGGCGTGTAGTTGCCAAATGTATGTATCGAAACTCAACTCATTCGAGGGTTACTTATGGAATGAATGGGGGGGGGGGGTATGAGTGTGGGGATCATCGATCGTTTAGCTATATAATACTTTACCATATTTGGTATTGCTCCAGACATTTATATTATTTTTGGTGTTTTCTCATTCTGTTTGTATACTTGACTTGTGGAATCATTAATCAATTTCAAATTGCAATTGGTTTCTGTGTGGGTTTTTTGTGTGTGTGTTTTTTTCTCTTTTCTCCGTACTAACTAAATATGCATTTGCGATTTCAACAGTTTTCAACAACAATAGAGGAAACGGAAATACTGAAACTTAATCTATGTTCTTGTTCTTTCTACTCTTGTTCATCGTATCATATCATATCATATCATATCATTTTGTCGATTGTTAATATTTATATAGTTAGTTTATCCTCCTGTCCTCCATCTACCGCTTGACTTTGGTGTGGGTTTGTGTCTGTTGCTGAATCCAAAAAAAAAAAATATATGCATATAGTGTGACTATAATATATATTTGTTTAAATTTTGTAGCCATCTCGCCGTAAGTTGCGAGGGATGTCCGTTTTATAAAAGCTAAGTTCTGGGGAGTTGGAATTTGTTTGTTTAGTTAACTACGATTGAAATAGGTTGTGGGTAGCTTGAGACGATACGTGTCTGGGTGTGTGCACATTACACTAAAAACTAATTGTTTTATCCAATCGCGTAACTCCTTCATATTTGTATGTACTTTTATATTAATATTAAGTTGAAGGGTTTGGGTGTGGGTGTGGGTGTGGGAGGATATTGTGTTGTGTTGCAGCATCGAAGCAAAGTACAGCAGTGCAGCAGGGAATGGACTCGAGTCGAAACGAAGCGAAACTGGAGCTGAGTCCTAGAGCGTGTGTTGATGTTGTGCTGGGATGAAGGCATCTGTTGTGTGAGTTTCCCTATTACAATGCGTATTCTTGTATTCATATATATGTATATATATTTTTGATTTGAAATTGGAAAGTCAGCTGGCTATAAATACTTTATATTCGAACGCGTGGCGCGGAACAAGCGACCGCTGCACGGAATCAGGTTAAGGAATTGGATGGGGCAGGGTGGAAGTAGAAGGAATTGATTGCCATCTCTTGAATTGAATTGAAACGCCTGTTCCACAGCGTTCCATGCCTTATACAATATACATACATACTTATTAGTTAACTACATTTTGACTTAATTGGATTTACCATCTCGAAAACTTTCCATCGTTCATGTTTGTGTAGAAATCAAGTAACCAAAAGATACTCCTCCCTCTCTCTCTCTCTCTCTCTCTGTCTCTCTGGCGTGTGTTGTTGTGTGTGCTACAAGTAGTTCAATGTACACAAGGGGGAGTGGGAAAGGGCAGGGGGAAGGGGGAAGGGGGACACTTATAGGCATTATCAATTACATTTCTATTAAGTAATTATTAGTTAAATATCTGATTTGCTAGTTCAATTGGAAACGCTTTGTTCCTGCTCTGTGGATGTCTGTGGTGTGTGTCTGAATCAATCAATCATTTAAAATGCATCATATTCATTTACTAATTAGCTTAATTCTTTCCCTTTCTCTTACTCGCTCGCTTTACTCTATACATGTTAGTGATAACAAAGACTTGATTTGGTTGATAAAACGCAATAAACCATACAGCCGCCACACCTAGCTGGCGTCCATCGTACACACAGATAGTACATCGAATATGTAACAGATTTAAGTCGAAAGTTATATTAAGCAACAATTATACAGATACATATATGCATGTATTAATTAATATAATATAAATATATAATGTATACACGTTAAAAAAAAGGTAAACTCTTCTTTTGTTGGTTTTTGTTTTGTTTTTTTTTTGTTTTTTCAAGTTTAATTCGTATAAGGAACATTTATGGACTATTGCGGCACATATTGCAAACTGGTTTCTCATCTCTCCTCTTCATCGCTCAGTTTCATGATTTTTCAAGTTTATGTTATGGATTACAAGACAAGGATTGCACAAAAGTTGGTTTGCTTTTTGTTTTTTGCTTTTTGTTCATATTCAAATCATTGTTTCTTCATATTTGTTTAGTTATAGATCGATATTTAAATATATATTTATATATTCCATATGTTTATATATGCTCGCTTCTTTTTGGCGCTGCTAAATGTTTTTAACAGATTAGCGCTGGATTTTTACCATCATTTTTCTTCCATTTAGTTGTAGTTTCTTTTTTTTTTTGCTTGTTTTAGTTTTACTTTTGTTCATTTTTCATTCAAGGTTTTACTCCCATTCGGTTTTTGTTTTGTTTTTTTTTTATACATTACAACTTAAGCTAAGAATTATGGGGGGGGGGGGGGGTTTGTTTTCTGGGGTTTTCTTGAGAAAAGGAATTCTTGCGGCCGGCCCGCCAAAGTATGCAACACATAATTCTAATATCCAATGTGCGCCGCGATGCGCGCGCCTGCGCTAAAACAAATGAATCGCCTGCTGATGCTGCTGCTGCTGCCTGCCTGCTGCTGGCAGCCAGAAGTGGTCGAAAGTAGGAGCTGGAGCTAGAGCTGTATTACATTTATGCTTAGAAATAGAATTGGGTTTTCTTTTGTTTGTTTTTGTTGTTGGTTTGTTTAAGTTGTTACTCTGCCACACTTTAAGCTTAATTAAGGATATTTTCTTGTTTTTTGTATGTTGTTTGTTTGTTTGTTGGTGTTCTTCCATTTCCATTTCCCTTTCCCTTTCAGTTTCTGCTTCGGGCCAAGCTTGAGGTTCAGTTACAGCTGCAGAATGATGTTTAGCTAAAACGACAAATCGTTGACACTACTAAATAAATGTCTCTTAGGTCTCCATCCACACTGCCACTGTCGCTGCCTCGATCTCAACTCCACTATGCTCTACTCTACTCCACACTCCACTTTTTCACCACTGCCGTACCGCCTGCCTGCACACACACGATCCGATCTGCTGCATGCCGCTTACCCATGCGCCGCACCATTGTTGCTATTGCCTTGACTGTGATGTGATGACTGTGGATGGTGCGGATCCTCGCTGGGCGTGGGCGGCTGGTCGCGACGTGGCGGCATCCGCTCGTTGACGGCATCGAGGCCCTTGGCCTCCGCGAACGAGGTAATCTTGTGGTTGGGCGAGAAGCCTACGTACCGTAAGAACTCGCTGACGAACGGTGGTCTCTCCCGCGGTTCCCCGTCCCGCGGGCAGCCGCAGTCCGGGAAGTCGACCTCGTGTGAGAGCCTGAGGAGCGCGTCGTGCCTCTTCTGCGCGCGGTAGAACGGTTACCGTGCCTAGAACAACGCATACTGGAGGAACGCGCGGCGGCGGAGCAGCAGTCTCTCGCGCTCCTCGCTCTCCTCGGTCATGAGCTCGTCGTCGGAGCAGATGTTCAGCACGTTCACCAGCATCTCGGTGACCTTCTCGCCCACGAAGGGCAGCGACCAGGTGAACACGTCCATGAAGTTGGGAAGCCAGTAGGGGTGCGGCGAGCAGTTGAACTGCCTGATGTTCATCACGTTGTTCTCGTACTTCAGCACAGCCGCCTTGTTGTTGTACACATCGAGATAGTTGGGCGCCGAGAAGATGGTGATCAGCGAGGGGAAACCGGTGGTCTGGCTCTTGCGGTACATGCGGTAGCCGGCGTCCTGCGCCTCGTGCGCCCGGATGATCGACAGCAGATTGTTGTTCTGCAGGAAGTCGCAGCAGGCGGCATAGCTGTAGAAGTACGAACAGCCGCGCACCGAGTTGTGCGTGTAGAAGTCCGAGTTCTTCTCGTTGCCAAAGTCCTCCAGCGGATCGGACCACAGCAGGTCGCACATGGGGCCAAAGGCGGGTGGCTCCTTGAAGCGGTCGAGCCGCCGTATATCCTCCAGCTCGTGTATCTCCGGCGACAGGCCGCCGTGCACGCACAGGAACTGCTGGTTCATGAGCGCCGCCAGCGGCAGGCAGTCGAACGCGTCCATGCACGCGTCGTAAACGCGCTCCGAGTACTTGATCTTGCACTCCTGCTTGAAGGTGAAGTACTCGGTCAGGTGCCGGCACTCGTGGTTGCCGCGCAGCAGGAACAGCGTCTGCGGATAGGTGATCTTCAGCGACCACAGATACAGCACGCACTCGATGCTGAAGTAGCCTCGGTCCACGTAGTCGCCCAGGAAGAGATACTTTGTGGTGGCCGGCGAGCCGCCGATCTCGAATAGCTTCATCAGGTCGTAGAACTGTCCATGAATATCCCCGCAGACCGTCACCGGCGCCTCGATGTCGATCATTGTCTTCTCCTGGCGCAGCAGCGTGGCCCCATCCTGGATGATGCGCAGCGCGGCGCTCTCCTCGATGCGCCCCTCCAGTATGAAATGCTGCTTNGAGAAGATGGTGATCAGCGAGGGGAAACCGGTGGTCTGGCTCTTGCGGTACATGCGGTAGCCGGCGTCCTGCGCCTCGTGCGCCCGGATGATCGACAGCAGATTGTTGTTCTGCAGGAAGTCGCAGCAGGCGGCATAGCTGTAGAAGTACGAACAGCCGCGCACCGAGTTGTGCGTGTAGAAGTCCGAGTTCTTCTCGTTGCCAAAGTCCTCCAGCGGATCGGACCACAGCAGGTCGCACATGGGGCCAAAGGCGGGTGGCTCCTTGAAGCGGTCGAGCCGCCGTATATCCTCCAGCTCGTGTATCTCCGGCGACAGGCCGCCGTGCACGCACAGGAACTGCTGGTTCATGAGCGCCGCCAGCGGCAGGCAGTCGAACGCGTCCATGCACGCGTCGTAAACGCGCTCAGAGTACTTGATCTTGCACTCCTGCTTGAAGGTGAAGTACTCGGTCAGGTGCCGGCACTCGTGGTTGCCGCGCAGCAGGAACAGCGTCTGCGGATAGGTGATCTTCAGCGACCACAGATACAGCACGCACTCGATGCTGAAGTAGCCTCGGTCCACGTAGTCGCCCAGGAAGAGATACTTTGTGGTGGCCGGTGAGCCGCCCACCTCGAACAGCTTCATGAGATCGTAGAACTGGCCGTGTATGTCCCCACAGACCGTCACCGGCGCCTCGATGTCGATCATGGTCTTCTCCTGGCGCAGCAGCGCTGCCCCGTCCTGGATGATCTTGAGGGCGGGCGCCTCCTCGATGCGGCCCTCCAGCACGAAGTGCTGCTTCAGGACGTCATGATTCGGTTTGCCCGTGCGCGGATCGAAGACCTCGGCCAGCGTCAACTTGTGGCTGGGTGGGAAGGGAACGCTATCCACCACACGCTCTTTGGTGTTGACCGCCGTATGGCCGCCATGGGGTTTGCCCTGCTTTGTGGGGCTACCATCGTGGTCCGCGGCGTTTGAGTTGCTCGCGTTGGCGTTGGCGTCAGCGTTGGCGTTGGCACTGGCCTGGGAGGAGGAGGAGGAAGTGGCAGCGGCGGCATTGCCAGCAGCAGTGGAAGAGCCAACGTCACCAGCGGCGGCGACGGAGGAGCTGTTGGCGTCTGTGGCGTCAGCGGTGGAGGCGTTGCTGGCTCGCTGCTGGCTGGCACTTGTTGCCACTTGGCTGTCGCTTGATTGATTATTCGAAGACATGGCTGATGCTGATGCTGGAGTTGGAGTTGGAGCTGCTCCTCTGGATTGGAGCTCTCTCCACTTGACTGCGTTCTGCTACTCCGAATCCTCTCTCTCACCTTCTCACACTCCCTTGCACACACACACTCTCTTTCTCTCTCTCACCGTTCCCGTTTCGTTTCGTTTGCGTTCGCGTTGGCGTTGGCGTTCCTCTGGTTCCTGTTCCTGTGTGACTATTCCTGTCCTTGTTCCACCTCCTGGCTCAATTTCCACGAACACACATACACATACGAAACAACCCACACACACTGGCACTTTTTACTGCTGCGCTGCTGGTGTTGTTGTTGCTTTTGTTGCTGTGCTGCTTTTACTGCTGCTGCTGTTGTTGGAGCTTAGCCGCTTTATCGCCTTCCAGCTTTAATTTAAGCAATTTAACAGTTTCCTTGTTGTTGCTGCCACTGGCCGTGTTCGTTATGCGCTGTTTTTACTCAACAACAATCATATTCACTTAGTATTTTGTGTATTTTCGCCCTGCAGACGTCGTAATTTCTCTCTTTTTTCTTTCTTTCCAGTGTGACCGCGGAATTATCGATAAAATATACCGTCGGTCCACCACATATATACCGTAATATCCCACAGCCTTTAAGAAACATACTGTTTTATGTTCTGATACTAGATTAACCCACTTGGCCAACCTTCATTGGAAGAGGTGAACAACTTGTTTTCAGTTGCGAAATATTATAATGTTTTCAATTACGCTCGTAACATTCTTTCTCCATACCTACAAAAAAACTAACAACCATGATGTCTTTTACCTAAACTGGGCTAAAATTGTTCGAGTTTCCTAATATTTCTAGGAATATTGAAACACCTCCTGGCCCACAATGGGCTAGGAATAATTTTTGCTTATCGCAATCATGCTACTTCGCTTTGATAATCGGTTGCGTTCATATTCTCAGGGTTTTTTTTATTGTGCGAAATGTTGCTAGAGAATAATTGTCCTCCATGTTGCTGGATATATTTTGTTTATGCGGAACCCACCATGAAAAAACGGGTAACCCACCACATAAAGAGAGCAAAAATCGAAATCCACCACGATTTGGGGTAGCGAAGGTACAAAAAAAAACTTGCGTATGGAAGTTGCGATACACTACGTTCTTTGTTATCCCTTAAAAAACGAATGTTATGGTGTATGCTTTTAACGGATTCATTCGTGCTTACATGAAAATTGTTTAAAATAATCATTAATAATCATAATGCAATTTTTGTAGGGCCTGGAGGCGCCTTGTATCGATGCGATAGACATGGTATCGATACTTTGAGGTGGTGCTCGGTGGTGGAGCAGCCGTTATTCCCAGGGGGACTTCCCCCATACACAAACGAACAGTTAGAGGAAATAATAAATGTGCGCGCATTTTATTCTCAGGATAGGTACTTGTATATTTTTTTAATGTTTTTGTATTGTTTTCTCAGTTTTTGTTTTGTTTTTGTTGTTAATATTAATTATGTTAATAACATTGATAATCATTTGGTTTTCTTTGTTTTATTCGCTTAATGTTAAAACTTGTTGTCTGCATTATGTTGCTGTTGTCATCTTCCATCATCCATCTTCCCCTTGTAAGTTAATTTGTTAATCCACGGATTGGATACAACGAGTTTTTGTTGTTGTCACAAAAGCGCAATTTTTAAGTAATCTTTACTAGCCATCTGCCCATGCAATACATTTATAAATCCCATATACATATGTATACACATACATATACATATACATATACATATACATATATAATAATGCATTCACTGTTAAATTTGTTTATTTATTCACTTTTGGTTTTGGTTTAATAATAAAATTGAAAATTTTTAAGAGATTTATCTAGATGTGATGTTTTTTCTTGTTTGTTAATTTTTTATGTTGCATTTTTAATATTATGTTCATTATTTTTAAATATATAAGTATATAAACTTTTTGCTTTGACAAAGTTTCTCCAACTTATAATTATCATATATATTATATATAAATAAATGTTTAAATATATATAAAATATGCATTTAAATTGATTTATCCAAAAGGTAAAGTTTTAATTCATTTTTTGTTTTCTCATTGGGTTTCCTCCATCATCTTAATGTTTTTCATATCCTTCTGTTTTCATTTGTTTATAATATATGTTATATTAAGTTGTTTTGTTTTTTTTGTGTAAAGTTTTTAAAGCATTTGAGGGCAGGAAGTAGATGTTGAAAAATACATGTATCAAAAAAAATGATGAAAGGATTTTTCACTTGCACTGGAGATAAATCCAAAACTAGAACGAGAAACTTCCCCTATTCCTTTTGTTTTTAAGTTTGTTTTTTGTTTTTTTTTTTTGTTTATCGTATTACTATATATGTATGTAACTTATAAATTCGATAAGGAACAACAGAATCGATTAACGAAATTGGTTTATTAAAACGAGTTAAGTATCTGATTTGATTGTACATAGTTGAAGCTAATCAAAAAATTAACAAACGGCTACAAATGGTCAACAAAAGCCAGCCTCGAGACGAAACCTAAAACATATTTGATAATTGTTAAATGTTTAATGCGTTTTTCTCGATTACAAACTTATAATATAATTGGATTTAATTAATTTGGTTTTTAATTTCTTTTTATCGTATATCTAAATATTTGTAGAGATGTTTTTGGTTTTTGATATTTTCGTTAAAAGGAATTTGTTTTGTTTTTTCTGTAATTTGTAAGTATTATGTACTTTTGTTTTTTTTTTTTATTTTCATATTCATATTTTGGTGTAGTAGAAAATTTACCGTTAAAAAGTGTGGTTGGTTTTTGTTGTTTTATTTTTTTGTTTTGGGTTAGGTCATTGAAAAGAGAGAGAGAGAGAGAGAGAGTGAGAGACGAGACGAGACGAGAAAAAGAGTCGAAGTCGAAGTCAAGGTCGAAGTTGGAGTTGAAGTTGAAGTTGAGAGCTTTTGAGTGAGCCTTGGGCCTGGTGAGTAGTGCACAGAGGAGAGGAGAGGACAGAGAGAGCTTGTAGAGTGGGTGAAACGGAGAGGAGACTCGTTTTCGTTACCATTAATTTCTTTAGCATTTTAGTTTAGTTCTTAGGCTTTCGTGTATATAGTATAAAAGTATTTGTTTTGTCGTATATTAATCGCTTAGTTGTAATATGTTAGATTTTAATTTGTTTTATGTTTTTGTTTCCTTGCCATATAGTATGTGTGTATTAATTTAATTTATTTTCTTTTAAATTTATTTTCTTTTGTTTCGCTTAGAATAGCGCGCTAACTTGTATTGCTGGTAATGTAGGAAAACGTTCTTGGAGGAGAAAAGTATATTGTTTATATACCATATGTCTATATAGTATATGCATGCTTATTGTGGGTAGCGGTAGTAATTTGCTTGACTTGTTAAAAATGTCTCATTTGACTCAATTTACTTTTAAAAATAATAGTAAGAGCTTCGAGGTTGCTGTAATCCATTATTGGCTGTAATTATTGTTTGTATTAATTCATATATATGTAGATATATATTCATTATTATTTGTGTTGGTTTTCATCGTTTTCGTTTTCGTTTGGAATTGAAATGCATAAACTTGTTGTAAACTTTTCTGGTTTTTTGTTACGTCTGTCTGTGTGTTTGCCTTGTGTGTGAAACGCTTAACTTTAAACTGCTTTATATATAGGTATTGTATGTAAATATATATATAAATGTAAATCATTTGTAACCATTATTTAACTGCTTGATAACGCCTCTGCTGCTGCTGCTGCTGCTGCTGCGCATGGGCACGATGCACTACGCACGACTGTACCAACTGTACCGACTGTACCTGCTGTAGCTGCTCTCTGTTCTAGCTCTCAGTGCGCGCATGCGTGCCTCCTGCCATCACTAACAACTTACTCGAATTTGTCAACGGTATTTTGTTTTACTTTATTTAATTTAATTTAATTTTGTTTTGTTTTTATTACTGCACTTGTGATTGCTGTTTGTAGCTTCTGCTTCTGCATTTGTATTGTATTGTATATTCTCGACCCTCTCCTCCGACCTTCCCTTCCTCGCTGGCTCACTTCCACTCCGCCTCAATTCATGCAAATATATATATATATATATATATGGTATGTATATATATATCTACTATATGTATTCTGTTTGGGCACACTCGTGTTCGTGTATGCGTTTCCCTTAGGCATATGTGTGTAGGTATATTTCATTATAAAGTACTTCAAATTGCTATAAGTTTGCATTTTGTATTACGATTTCCTATAAATCTTCAAATTGGGTTTCTTTTTCTCTTGGATTTTGTTCTTCTTGTCGTCTTGTCTGTCGAAGTTGAAAAGTTGTCTCTTATTTGTTTGTTTTCATTTAGGTTTAGGCTTTTTCTTTAACAAATTGTCTTGTTCATTTTTGTAAACGTTTTTTGCTTTCATTTTTGTTTGTTTTTGGTTTCTCATTTCCCCTTTCCTGTTTGTTTGTTGTATAATTTAAACTTAATAGTAAATTCACATAGTTTGGTTTTAATTATTTTCCCTTACTTTTTCTGTGTAGAATATAATTTTATTTTTGTTTAAGAAAACTTTTTGCACGCCCCATTTTGTTACATGCTCGTATATAATTTTTTTTGTTTCTTTCTTTTTTTCATCATCTTCATTTTGCATAAATTCATTTAATTCAATTACTTATGGCCTATAGAAAAAAGTGTGGTAAACAATATATATAGTTGTATATAGTATATATAGATATAAAAAAAAAAACAAAAAAACATAAGTACAAGTAGAAACAACAATTTAGTTTATAAATATATATATATTTATGTATTCATATTATGCTCGCTGATTGTGGTGTTTGTGTTTATGTGTGTGTGTGTGTTTTTGTTTTGTTTGTTTATGTATAAATAGTTTACAATAAATACAAATTATAAAAAGGATAACAAGAAATGTATACACATATCAAAAAAGGTGTATAGAATAATTACTAAGAAATATAACAAAATTCCCGTTCGCACACTATTTTCACTTCCGTTTCAGTTTTTCCACTCTACACCAATTCTTTAACATGATCGATTGACTTTTAATAACTAAAATTCCATTAAGTATAAAAAGGATGCTGCACACGACAACATAACAGGCACAAATGTCCGAGAGAGAGAGAGAGAGAGAGAGAGAGAGAGAAAGAAAGTGGAGTGGCTGTGGATGGTAGATGAAATGAGATTCATGTGGAACAGGGAAGAAGAAATTCTTCAGATTCTTCTCTCTCTCTCTCTCTTTTTGCTCTCTCGCTGCGTTGCACCTGCAAATGTGGCGCGGGGCAGGCATCCATCGGGCATCGGGTTGTTACTCGTACAAATATAATCCAAATATAATCGTACTCGTATCATGTATATCATTAATATAGTATTCAGCTAATGACTACGACAAAGATGGCACGTATATAAAGACCACATACACAATCACCAGATGAGAGAGAGTGTGAGGCGACAATGGCGACGATAAAAACGCAAGGAACGATCCAACTTTAAGCGTGATCATTCCGCATTAGTGTTTGTGTGTGTGTGTGTGTAGGTGTGTGTTTTTGTGTAAGAGAGAGTCAGATTAAGAGAGAGAGAGAGTTATTCATATACATATATAGAGAGAGAGAGAGAGAGAGAAAGAGTGAAAGAGAGATGGAGATTCAGTCATTTCTTGTTCTTGTAATAAAACATTGTAGTAAAATATTGTTGCTGTTGTAATTTGTTTGAGGCTATTCTTTTGCTGTTTGTAGGAAGTAGTTTTCTCTGCTGAAGAAGCCTTCTCCTTGGCCATAATACACCCGCGCACACATCTGCGTATGCCTTCATATAAGTATGTGTGTGTATGTATATAAGTCACACAAGACGCCGCCGTCGCCACACAACGAAAATAGTAGAATTCACTTTAGCTTTTTGTTTTGTTTTTTGTTTTTTGTTTTGTTGTTGTTTGTTTCTGTTTTGTTTTTAGTATTACTCGTAGTTCCAGCTTAGTATTTACGCTCTAGATGTAGACTCTCTGCTCCTTTTTCTCTGTTTTTCTGTTTACCTAACAAAGATCGGAGCGGGTGGGTGGGGTGTGGGGCTGCGGTTAAAGGGAGCGTCGCTACGGTTGTTCTTCTTCTGTTCTTCAATTCGTTTTACACTTATGTGGAAAATATAATTTCAATTTAACTAATTCTCTTGGGCAGAGAGGCAATGCTGCTGTCGAAGAGAGTGAAAGAGAGAGCCTCGCTTAGCTTTTACATTTGCTCTTTTGATATAATGTTGCACAAAATGCACACACATACACATGTGCATGTCTGCCTGTATGTATGTATATGTATAATATTTATTGTATAATAATTCTATATTTCCTTTTCCCTTTTCAACTGCACTTTATAATTAGCATCCACCTGGGAGGGGTGGGGGCTGGGGCTGGGGCTGGGGCTGGCCCTTCTTCTCTTTTCACGTTTCATCATCCTCCTCCATTCCCTTCTTCCAAACCCCAAAAAAAAATTGTCTCTCGTTTTATTGTTTTCTGCGTTCTTCTCTGTTGTTGTTTCCTCTTTTCTTGTGGCATCTGTGTGTGTGTGTGTGTGTGTGTGTGTGTGTGTGTGTGTGCCGCATTAAGCCGCTCTCTTGAGATTGAGACTATTTTATTCCTATTTATTCGCATTCTCCCTCCCAACCATTTACTTAAGTTTCGACTATTAACTGACTTCCGCTCCCCAAGATCCCAAAAATCCCAAGATCCAAACCTCCAATCCTCCTTCCTGATCTGATGGCTGATCTGCAAACGCAATCGATCGTTCTGCCGACTTAGAATTATCCAGTGATTGAATTCGCATTTGCATTGGCAGCTGCTGCTGCCGCCGCCGACAGTGTCTTCTGGCCCTCTTCCGCCGGCGAAGGTGTGGCATCGCGACGTGGCGGCATCCGCTCGTTGACGGCATCGAGGCCCTTGGCCTCCGCGAACGAGGTAATCTTGTGGTTGGGCGAGAAGCCCTGCATGGCATTCTTGAGCGACTGCTTGCCACCAGAGAGGGCGCCAAGGGGCAGGGCGCCCGTCGGCGTCAGGCCCTTCAGCTGGAGCACACTCTCGGACTCCTCGCGCAGCACGGAGAAGACGCGCGCCATCTTGCCAATGGCACGGATCTTGTTGCGTATGACCTCCTTGCGCGCCGCCGCCTCGTCGTCAGAGAGCGGCTCCTCGCTCTCCTCGGTCATGAGCTCGTCGTCGGAGCAGATGTTCAGCACGTTCACCAGCATCTCGGTGACCTTCTCGCCCACGAAGGGCAGCGACCAGGTGAACACGTCCATGAAGTTGGGAAGCCAGTAGGGGTGCGGCGAGCAGTTGAACTGCCTGATGTTCATCACGTTGTTCTCGTACTTCAGCACAGCCGCCTTGTTGTTGTACACATCGAGATAGTTGGGCGCCGAGAAGATGGTGATCAGCGAGGGGAAACCGGTGGTCTGGCTCTTGCGGTACATGCGGTAGCCGGCGTCCTGCGCCTCGTGCGCCCGGATGATCGACAGCAGATTGTTGTTCTGCAGGAAGTCGCAGCAGGCGGCATAGCTGTAGAAGTACGAACAGCCGCGCACCGAGTTGTGCGTGTAGAAGTCCGAGTTCTTCTCGTTGCCAAAGTCCTCCAGCGGATCGGACCACAGCAGGTCGCACATGGGGCCAAAGGCGGGTGGCTCCTTGAAGCGGTCGAGCCGCCGTATATCCTCCAGCTCGTGTATCTCCGGCGACAGGCCGCCGTGCACGCACAGGAACTGCTGGTTCATGAGCGCCGCCAGCGGCAGGCAGTCGAACGCGTCNCACCAGAGAGGGCGCCAAGGGGCAGGGCGCCCGTCGGCGTCAGGCCCTTCAGCTGGAGCACACTCTCGGACTCCTCGCGCAGCACGGAGTAGACGCGCGCCATCTTGCCAATGGCACGGATCTTGTTGCGTATGACCTCCTTGCGCGCCGCCGCCTCGTCGTCAGAGAGCGGCTCCTCGCTCTCCTCGGTCATGAGCTCGTCGTCGGAGCAGATGTTCAGCACGTTCACCAGCATCTCGGTGACCTTCTCGCCCACGAAGGGCAGCGACCAGGTGAACACGTCCATGAAGTTGGGAAGCCAGTAGGGGTGCGGCGAGCAGTTGAACTGCCTGATGTTCATCACGTTGTTCTCGTACTTCAGCACAGCCGCCTTGTTGTTGTACACATCGAGATAGTTGGGCGCCGAGAAGATGGTGATCAGCGAGGGGAAACCGGTGGTCTGGCTCTTGCGGTACATGCGGTAGCCGGCGTCCTGCGCCTCGTGCGCCCGGATGATCGACAGCAGATTGTTGTTCTGCAGGAAGTCGCAGCAGGCGGCATAGCTGTAGAAGTACGAACAGCCGCGCACCGAGTTGTGCGTGTAGAAGTCCGAGTTCTTCTCGTTGCCAAAGTCCTCCAGCGGATCGGACCACAGCAGGTCGCACATGGGGCCAAAGGCGGGTGGCTCCTTGAAGCGGTCGAGCCGCCGTATATCCTCCAGCTCGTGTATCTCCGGCGACAGGCCGCCGTGCACGCACAGGAACTGCTGGTTCATGAGCGCCGCCAGCGGCAGGCAGTCGAACGCGTCCATGCACGCGTCGTAAACGCGCTCCGAGTACTTGATCTTGCACTCCTGCTTGAAGGTGAAGTACTCGGTCAGGTGCCGGCACTCGTGGTTGCCGCGCAGCAGGAACAGCGTCTGCGGATAGGTGATCTTCAGCGACCACAGATACAGCACGCACTCGATGCTGAAGTAGCCTCGGTCCACGTAGTCGCCCAGGAAGAGATACTTTGTGGTGGCCGGCGAGCCGCCGATCTCGAATAGCTTCATCAGGTCGTAGAACTGTCCATGAATATCCCCGCAGACCGTCACCGGCGCCTCGATGTCGATCATTGTCTTCTCCTGGCGCAGCAGCGTGGCCCCATCCTGGATGATGCGCAGCGCGGCGCTCTCCTCGATGCGCCCCTCCAGTATGAAATGCTGCTTAAGTACATCGTGCTGTGGCTTCCCGGTCCGCGGGTCGAACACGTCCGCGCAGGTGAGTTTGCGGCTTGGCGGAAACGGTACGCTATCGATCACACGCTCCTTGGTCGATATTGTGCTCCGTTTTGTGGGGCTCTGTGGTGTTCCGCCGCCACCTGTCGATGCTGGCGATGTTGTGGAGGCTGCTGTGGCTGCGGCTGCTGCTGCCGCCGTCCCCGTCGTCGCCGAGGCATTCTTGTTGTCATGTGTGTTGTTTGCGTTGTTCGCCTTTTGATTCTGTTGCTGCTGCTGCTGCTGGGCCGACGCTGGCGACTGCGACTGGCTGCTGTTGCTCTGAGCCGCTGGCGAAGACATGTTGGACTCGGGTCACGGGTCACAGAGGCGCGCACCGCCGCTCCACCTCCGCCACAAGAACTGCTGCTGCTGCTGCTGCTGCCCAAAAAGCACCTGCTACTGCTCCTGCTGCTGCTCCTGCTGCTGCTGCTCCTGTTCCGGATGCTTCTCCTACAGCTCTTACTGTGGGGCTGGCTGTTGGCCGAATGATGATCAGTCAGCAAGTGGCTTCTGGCTTCTAGCTTCTAGCCTGCAATGGGGAAAGAAAGACAAACGGACACCATTAGCATTTGTATTTATATATTTATATTTATGCGCCTCTGCTGTGGATGGTGCATGTGCATGTACGTGGCACTAGCGGCCATTGCATGGCTTTTATTAATAATAAATTTGTGTGCCCCTCTGCCAGCCAGCCTGCCTGCCTGCTGCTGCTGCACGTACCGTCCGTCATGTGATGAATGTTGCACTCATTTTCGGCGCAGTGCAACACTTTTAGAAACAATGACAGCAACGTATACCGAATCGATGATGCCCATTCGCTGTTCATAAAGTAACCATAAGCGAACGGACTCGCTGCACACGTTTAGCCCGCAACTCCACAAAGAGACAGGATAACTCCGACACTCGTTACTTACTCTGGTGGTTATTAGGAGTAGATTTCAACTAGATTTGTTCTCTCTCACTCTCTCTCTCTCTCTGTAAGCGAGTGTCTGTGATTAATTGCAGTCGTTTCGTAATAAAATGATGAAACAGGAGAGCAAGCAGCATTCTTATTGCTGCCACTGACTGTCACTTCTGCTGAATGCACGAATGCAAATATGTGCACAGAATTTAGAAAAATAATCAACACCGTCCGAACAAATATAGCGCGATGGCTAACAATCACGGCAGCGCGTTCTAGCGCTGACAGACAGAAAAAGAGACAGACAGAACCACACAAGAGAGTGGGGGTGGGGTGGAGACTGGCAACAAAATAGAGATGGCTTCGGGCCTGGTTTGAGCCACCCACCCCAGACAGACAGATGTTCCTATAATTGCTTCCCTCCTTTCTTCATGGAAATAACAGCAAAGTCATCCGATACTTTGATATCACATCATATCATTTGCATAGCTAATTGAATGTCCCTAAATGTGCCTAAGTATACATAGATATAAATTGGCAATTGGCAATAAATGTTGGGAAAGTCGGCAGCACGACGACTTTTTTCAAATATAATTTACTTTGTGGGTGGATAATTGTGTTGGGGACAAATGCAAATTAGACAAAAGTATGGGGCCAGGTGGTATTAATTCTACAATTCAATAAAAAAGTGGCACATTTGTACCACTATAAAGTATGAAAAATGAATAAATTTGAAATAATTTCGTGCCGGTGTCGGTGTCCGGAGAGACACGACTTTAGTCCATCTCTAGCGATGGACAGACAGGACGTTGAGGTTCGCTTCCCTGCTGCTATTCTGCGCTTGACGCATTGACTGACAACTGTACACAACAGAAAGAGAAAGAGAAACAGAAACAGAAAGAGAAACAAATGCAATGCCAATAAAGAGCGATACTCCAGTCAGGCTCTGCCCCCGCACACGCACACACACACGCACACACACACACCACCCCACCACTCCGCCATGCGACAGCAAAACATTTCGCAACAGTAAATTAAAGTCAGCTGTCGCTTGGCGTCTCACTCTCACGCAAATTCATCAACGAACGCGGGCGGGGAACGATGCGATTGAATGTGAATATGAATGTGAATGGGAATGTGAATGGAAATGGGAATGGGAATGGGAACTCGAATGTAATTGTTAGATGGCTGGCACAAGTCTACAGACATTCCAGTGCTAATGTGCTAGGTGGTGTGCTGGACAACTTAATAATGCATTTTTGAATTTAGCATGCAAATAATGGCTAGAAATGGTTGGGCCAAGTCATTTCTAAGCATTCTGAACATTCATTAATTAAATATTACAAATGGACAGAAGTTTAGATATTCAAATATTCAAATGTTCACCAACATACCGAATGTTAATCCCAAATGGGAGTTGTCCACAACTTCTGTGTGCGGGATGGGACGGGACGGGACGGGACGGGTCTTAAGCCGAAAAGTTTCTAATTTCGTTTCTATTGAATATTGTACGCGTGTGAGTGGACTGACTTTTTAATTATTAAACAAGTTTGCGAGCCACAGAAGAGAAAACAACATTTTATCAGTGTCTGAATGGACTGAATGGACTGACTGGCCCCTGCTCGTGCCCCTCTGCTCGTGCCCTGCCTACACACGGCTAATTTTCATGCATATATTCGCATTTGTTTGCTCATTGTTCAGTTTTTATGGCTTTGGCGCATATTTTTGCGTTTACACGATCGCACAACGATACACATTAAGTACACATTTTCGGCATTCCGTTTGTACGTGTCGTCACCCAGCACGGGCACAGGCACAGGCACAGCTCTGCCCTGACCCATGCTACTCCAATCTAAAAATCCAAGAAAACAAAACAACAACAAAATTAACACTAAATACTGGGTACTGCTGTTGGTAGGTGGAGTATACCCCCCTGACAGACTGTGGGAATACCCTCTGTTCGTTTTTTCTGCTCTAATATCATTGATTTATTATTAATAATTGCCTAGTAGGAGCCTAGAGTAACCGATATCACATGTCAGAGCGCTGCCATTTCAATTGTCACACAAAATGTACGTTTTTCTTGCACAGACTCTGCGAGTCTTAGGGTATATGAATCAAGGAAAAGACATGCCCGCCAGCACAGAACGAGGCTAATGAAATAAGACATTTTTGTTTACCTTTGGAGAGGCTGTGGGCTGTGCTGTGTGCTGCTGGGGCCCAAAATATGGTAATTAAAAAGCAATTATGCAAACGATATTCTCTTTGTGAAATATTTTCGGCATTATCAAAGGCAACGAACGGAAAGGCCCGAACGGAGGGAATTGTGCTGCACTTAGAACCAATGTCGTCTGCTCGGAGGCTTTTCCCCAGTGTACACTCCGACATGCAGGCAATAGCAGCTCACATGTCACACTAATTAGATGAGCAGCACTTGTTATGAAATCTCTCTCGAGTATAATAATGTGCAACGAAACGCAAACGACCAAACTGAAATGCCAATTGAATTGTGCCAGCAACAACGGGCAATGATAGCCAACAGTGCTGCCCAGCACCAGACCAGTGCCAGTGCTGCCCAATCTCAGTTATTCATCCAACTATTGATGCAGTTAGCCCAATCCAATCACAGAGTTCACAAAAACAAATTCCTTGGCTTGGAATCTCTTGAAAAAAGTGGCTAGCTACAACTACGGCAATTTCGCGTCACTCCCGATTTTTCCAATTAGCATGTGAGAATCCACTCGCTTACACGCTGGCCGGTTCTGCGGTTGAAGTGGCGGTGCGGTGCGGTGCGGTTCGGGTTAGGATTAGAGGCATTAATAATATAGGAGTAAACGGCGAGTAGCGACTGCCAAGTGCCTGACTGCTGACTGCCTGGTGGGGGTTGCGGTCACACTAATCGACCATTTGACGCATCAAATTGAACGAAGCGTTCAAGCGTTCTAATGGACAACAAGCATTGACAGTTGCAACAAATCTGCCCCATAGTTATTAACCTCAATTTTAATGCAAATAAAAACCACGTCTGACCACGTAAACAAACGCGCACACACCAATGAAAAGAATAGACAGACACACACACACACAAATGTGTGTTCCAGTTGCAATTGCAATTTGTGCTAATGTGTGCACGAGTACTCGTCGCACATGCCCACCACTCCCAGGGCGGCTCATTTATATTGATGAGCGTTCGGTTTAGTTCAGAATTTTAATACAAGTGACTTGCTTAATTGATTGGAATAGTATTTATTGTATAGATGTATGCATGTACATGTGTGTGGGTGGATTCATTCGCTTAGCTGTCTGTCTGCTGTTTCCCATATCGAACATTTTATTATTCTGTCACTTTAATTATCTGGTACAATTCGTTACCGAGTTGGCTCATGCCCAGTACTCCTTTTCGTTTTATTCCTGATGTTCTCTCGCTACAATTATTTTGTGACTGAGAAACACAACTGTACTTTCCGTAATAATAGCTCTCACTCTCTCCCTCTCTCCCCTTTTACAGTAGTTCAAAGCACAACTGTACCATTCGATATCCTGTGCATTCTTACATTAATTAGACGACTGTTCCTCAAGTCAAAGGCTAACCCAAGTGTTATGAGGTTAGATCGGATATGTACAGTACACTCCATTCAATCGATTCTCCAAATACAAGCAAAGTACAAGTGCCCGTCAACAATTGGGTTCTCTTGTCACGCCGTCTCTCAGTGAAAAACAATTTGTTCAAACCATTAATTTGGCATTTAATAGTCTCACTTGGCCTCACTTATCGATGTACACAGGTGCTGTTGTACAGGTGTCAGTCTTAGAGCCAGCTAAAACGTTTCCTCTAACTCGTTTCTTTTCTTTGTGTACAATTTATATGCAATTTAATCTCCACTACCAAAAATGATAATATCTACTGGAAATAACAACGATTAAATATGTATTACAGCCAAAAAAGAAACGAAAACAACTCTTGACAGTTCTCAATCGTTTAGATAGTTCAGGTACGAGGGGCTGACGGGGGTTTCCAATAGTCTGAATGTTCAGTTTAGCTCTTGTTGGTTTTTCTATTTTTCATTGTTATTTCGTTTCTGTAATTTCTTTTTGTTTTCTTTTTCTATTTATATTTTTTTTTGTTTTGCTGTTTTCTTCCAATAGCTTTGACACGGTTGCGGTTAGGCGAGGTTTATGGTTTACGGTTTACGGTTTACGGGTTCTGTTCTGTTCTGTTCATACCATGCGGCTCCCATGTGTGCACATATTTTAAAATTTAAATTGTATTCCAGCTAAATCCATAAATATTTTGTTCCGTGTTCCCGGGCCTGTGTCTGGGGGCCCCCACCAAGTGAAGCAAAAATATTCAATGTTTATCCAACAATTGTAGCAGCACATGGCACATGGCACATGCATTTTCTTGCATTTCTTTTTATTGTTCAGGCTCCAATTGTGTGTTGTATCCAGAGAAAAACAGAGCACAGCCAGAGCACAGGTCTTATGTGTCGATCGATGTACATATGTACTTTTGTATGTTTGTGGCATTTTGTGGTCGAGGCGGCAGACTTGCAACTTAATTAAAAAAATATCTGCAAATATTTATTCTTAAATGCAAAAGCAAATCAAAAGAACAAAGAGAGAGAGAG